AAGGGAGAAGCAAGGGGCAAGGCTGAATGCTATTAGTAAGATGTTGAATTTCCAAAATTTCATAGCCGATTGTTCCCTTTCTTATCTTGGTTTCAACGGGTCTAGATTCACATGGTGTAGTGGGAGACAGGATGGTGATGCGGTGAGAGAAAGAATAGACCGTGCTATGGGAAATGATCTTCTACGTGAAATGTTCCCCAAACTTCAGATTTTCCTCATTGATCCAATGGGCTTAGACCATTATCTGGTTTTAATGGACCTAAACTTTAAGGCTGGTAAAACTCCTTGTACTTTTAAATTTGAAGAACTTTAGACCACCCATCCATAATTTTTTCAAGTTATTCATGAGAGTTGGGGCCCTAGTGAAATTCAAAATCCCTGTATCATTGATGATTTTCTATCCAGACTACAGGTATGCAAGAGCTCTCTTTCTAAATGGAGCTCAAGAGTTTTCCCTACTAGTAAGAAGCTCATGGATCACATTAGGGTACAGTTGGCAGAGTGTAAACAAGGAGTGCTTACAGCAAACAAAGTCAAAATAGTAAATGAATTATTTGCTCATATTAAGACCCTTGTGGATGGAGAAGAGTTGTATTGGAGGCAGCGCTCAAGAGTATCTTGGTTAAAATCTAGAGATTGAAACTCAAAATTTTTCCACCACCATAACAAGGAGACACAGGAATAGTATATTGAAGAATAGAAATGGGTAGGGACACTGGCTAGATGACATTGCAGATATTGCTTCCACTTTCTCTAATGTTTGTGAGAACCTTTTTACTGCCTTTAAACCTTGCCTGTTTGATAAGGTTCTGAGCTGTCTAGATTGTAGAATTGATGATAGTACGAATGAGAAGCTTTTACTTCCAATAAGCAAAGAGGAGGTTCGAGCAGCAACTTTCAGCCTTGGTGCATTTAAAGCACCTAGTCCTGATGGATTTTCAAGTAAATTGTATCACATTTCATGGCTGAAGCTGGGGGATGGTATTTTTCCAATAGTTAAGAATTTTTTTAGTGGTATTGAACTTGTGGATATATTGAATGATACAAATATGACTCTTATCCCTAAGGTGGATAAACCTAAATATGTTTCCCAGTTCCGACCTATAGGGTTACGTAATTTCTCTTACAAAATTATCTCAAAGATTTTGGCCACCCCTTTGAAACCAAACCTTAACAAGTGTGTTTTCCCTAATCAAGGAGCCTTTATACCTAGCAGACTTATTCATGATAATATCATAGTTGCTCATGAAGTTTATCAATATTTGAGAAGAAAGCATACAGGAAAGAAGTATGAATTTGAGCTTAAAATGGATATGAGTAAAGCTTATGATAGGATGGAATGGGATTTTCTGAGACATGTTTTGTTGAAGTTTGGTTTCTGTAGCAAGTGGGTTAATTTAATTATGAACTATGTGGAGTCAGTCCAACTGAATTTGTGTTTATTATGTAGCAAAGTGGCTTCAATTAGACCAGGAGGGGCTTCAATCAAGGGGATCCTTTGTCTCCTTATCTCTTCATCTTGGTTTCAGAAGTCCTCCCTAGCATGATTGTAAGGTTCCAAACGGAGAATTAGCTTAAAGGAAGTAAAATGAGCTTGCCTTGCCCAGAAGCCACTCATAGTTTCTTTGCGAATGATGCTATTTTTTTCATGAATGCTGGTACTAAAAATTGTAGGATGCTAGCGAGAACAACTAAAGAGTACTGTGATGGCTCTAGTCAGACTACAAACCTGGATAAGTCTGTAGTCTTTTTCTCCTCCAATACACTCACTGTTGTTTGAGCATTTGTATGCGAGATTTTAGGGATTAGTGACTCTACTAATCCCTGAACTTACTTAGGTATTCCTAGTGTATGGAGAAAAACCAAATACCAAGCTCTAGCATATGTAAGAGAAAAAATGCTTAAGAAGGTGTAGGGATGGAGTAGACATTTTTTATCCCATGTAGGCCGTGAAGTCATGATTAAAGCTGCTATAAACGTTATGCCTGCCTCTCCAATGATGTGTTTCAAATTCCTAGAAAAGAATTCTAAGGATTTTGACAGTCTAATTTCAAATTTCTGGTAGAGAGGAGGTATTGAGGACAACAAACTTCACTAGATAGCTTGGAATGATCTTAAGAGGCCGAAATGCAAAGGAGGTATGTGCTTCAAGGGCTTTACTACCTCCAATGACTCTTTCTTTGCCAAAATTGCCTGGCAGTTAATAAACAATCTGGATGAACTATGGACTAGAGTACTTAAGGTATGGCAGAAATTTTTTAGCAAATGATCTATGTTGGTGTATCGGTGATGGTATTTTTGTGCGAATTTGGAAAGACCAACGGATTCCTTCCTTATCTAGTCATAGGCTCCACATTGATGATGAGGAACTAAGAAAATCAAATTTAACTGTATTAGGTCTGAATGACAATAGACAATGGAACTTGACAGCAATTTCAAATTTAATTGATGAGGAGACCAGTTTTGCTATAAAGCTTATTCCTTTACCTTCGGCAGTGAAACTAGATAAATTGTTTTGGTCCCATGCGAGTAATGGTGATTACACTATGAAGTTCGGTTATTCAAAGTCCATAAGAGTCAAGTCACCTGTTCGAACAGCTATAGGCTCATCCTCAATAATTACTAACAGCACCTAGAAGTCCTTATGGTAGATTAATTCCGCACATCACATTAAGCACTTTTTTTATGGAGATGCCTCTCAAATGCTATTGCTACCAATGCTGCTTTGCATAAAAGACATAGAGGTCCCACTAATTAATGTCCAATTTGTGAAGCTGATTCTGAAACAATTGAACACTTGTTTTTCTGCTGCCTATGGACAAGATGTGTTTGGTTCGAGAGCGATCTGGAAATGAAGACTGGTATGATGAATATAACTAATTTTGGGAGTTGGTGGTCTCGCATTACCTCTTCCTCTAGTGCTCTCATTGATTTTGACCTTGCAACAGTATATTGGCTACTGTAGGAAGTGTAGAAAGCAAGGAATGATAAGGTGTTTAACCAGATTGAAGCCAATCCCACTAGTGTCATTGTGATATCTGATGATGCTGAGGAGACGTTATGGCAGAGGGATCAACGCTGGACCTACCCTTAGTGGATTTCTGAAAATCAATAGTGATAGAGCTTAAAATCAGAATGGTATTGGTGCGGCTATAGGCGTGATCTGTAGAGGGAATGCTGGAAACTTCATTTGGGGCTCTGTTGATAAAGTCAAAATCCATCTCGGCCTTCATGTTAAAGGCTCTAGCTTTAAAAAGAGCCCTTCTGTTAGCCAGAGATCTCACATATGAGAAGGTGATTTTCGAGTGTAATTGCCTCATGTTGGTTTCTTATGTTAAACAAGTCAATCATCAATGGAAAATGGCTTTGCAAAAGTATCATTGATGATTCCCTGGATCTAATGGCAACTCAAGCTAGGTTTTTTCTCTCCTTTGTACCATGCAAAGGCAATCATGCAGCTGATCTAGCTTTTAAGGGAGTGAGTCCGGTTGGATGGCTGGAGACACCATCACCTCTTTTGTCACTTGTGCTAGCTAAGGATGCTACGGTCCCTAATTTGTTTTCTATCCAAAGCATTGTATTTAAAATTAGACCGAACCAACCAATCAAACCGGTGAGCTAGTCATCTATTTGGTCCAACATTTTTATTTGAAGAGGCCATGATTAATCCGAGTTAATCTAGATGACCCAAGATTAACTCGGATCAATTCACCTTACCCCATAAGTCTGGTGGGTTGGGTGGATTTATATTTTTTTAAAATTCTAATTTCCAGAATGATAACATTTTGGGGTTTAGAATAAAAAAAATAAAAATTGAAAAGAAAATCTAGAAGCCCGAAAATTTCCCCGAGACAATGCCATTTTAGGTTTAGAAAAATAACAAATAAAATAGAGTTGGAAGCCCTAAGCCTAACCAACGGTGTCTGTGTCCTTGTTCATTCACTCATCTTCATCTTTGTTTCTCTATCCCTTGGCATCATTTTAGCAACTACTTCTCGACATTCTCGGACTCTTTATTTCAACGGCTTCTTTCTCGTTTGTCATGGGTCCATCGCCATGTCATGGTGGGTCTGCCGCTGTTATGAATTGTGCCCTTATCCTCTTCACTTCCGTCATCTCCATGGTACTTGGTTTGCTCTCTCCATTGTTCCCTCTTACCTCTTCAATCTTCAAACATTGCTTTTCAACTTGGGGTGTGAATTTTGCAAAGCAGAGAAAAGATGGGCAGCAATGAAAGAGATGGTGTTCCTTACACTATTTAACTCTTCTTTTCGGGCATGATGACCTAGGCATAGATGAGTGGAAATAGACTTTTTTTTTTTGGCCAAAACACAAGTTAATTTTATTAATCAATAAAAATAATAATAATACATATGCTAATAACTTGAAATTGATTGGAAGTCTAAATTTTTAAAAATACAACGTCATAAAATATTGCAATGGCAATGGACATAAACTTATAAACTATCCTTTTCGTCATGTTCGCAATTGTGCGTTAGTGCGTGTGTGTAATACAAGTGTGTGTGTGTTAACAAGAGAATCACATTCAGCCTTCTTTTAAAAAAATTTATTATAAATAAAGACCAACAAGTTCTATTTAAAAAAAATATATTTTTATTTTGACAATAATTTATTTGACATTGGTCTTCATCTGTAATTAATTCTCTTAAGAGAGGATTGGCTGTAATTTTCTCTACTTTATATATTTTTACCTTAATATTGTTATTATTTGACATTTATTTATTGTTTTGTATTTTTTTATGTAACATAATTTAAAATATCTTAATTTTATTATAAAGGTGAATAATATTTGAAATATTCTTGTGTTTTTTTATTATTAGAATTATTACTATATGTTAAATGAGATATTAAATCTTAAATATAGATAAATATATTAAGAATTAATGTGTTTTATTTTAATTATATTATTTTATTACGATGATTTTGACTCCCAATTAAAGTGTTGACCTCTAAGTCTCCTGACCTTAATTAGTTTAACGATGGATCTGATTCAGTACCTTGATCCAGAGCAAAACTGTGCCTTGGTGCGATGGGACAGGCTGATTCGTTTCTCGTTTATGCTGATTTGCTTTCTCTTTAGTTTTGCTGCTTTTTCTTTAGTTTTGTCGTTTCCTTGCTTGTACTGCTACTGTGGTGGCTTTTGCCCTTTTCTATGTCTGAATAGAAGTACTTTTGGCCAATTAAAAACAAAATCTCTTTCATAAACATTGTTTTCTAAATAAAATATATGAACGCCTATACTGCCCCTTAAAAGTTAAAGCAATGAAACATCTCTTGGACTCTGATTCGTCAAAGTCTAACAAGCCAGCATACATGGAAGGAAGCTTCAGGTAAGTCACAAGTATTTTAGGCAAACCCATTATTTTCACGAGAAATTTAACTCATTCCGTATAAATTGAATTTATAGTGTGGAATTTGGCAGTTTCACACAATATTTTAAAGCATCAGACGAAACTTAATACAACTTTTTCTATCATCTGTTTGTTAATAAGTGTTTTAAACATTTAATCACACAATTGGTCCTGGTCATTGTGCTTCTAAATTTGATGGAGCTCAATTTTCATATTTTCACATTGAAGCAAACATATAGCAGTCCGTTTGGATTGCCTCATTAATCGATTTTTGAGGCAAAAAATCGATTAATATGAAAAGTTAGCCAAACAGTCAAAAATCATCAAAAATCGATTTGGGTCAGGACGCGCGTTTTTCCGTAAGTTCTCTCCATCAGCTTTTGCAGAACGTTTATCAAAAAGCGTTGGGAAAAATTACAAAGAATGGCCCAAGAAAAAATTACAAAGAAGCACATAATTTAATAAAAATAAAATTAAACTCTCTTCTTTTCCCTTTTTTTTTTAAACTTTGTATATTCAAAAAATTAATATTTGATATTTAAAAATTAAATTATATAGTAATTTATATAGTTAAAATTAATTCTGATTAAATTATCCAAACATCTTCAATTTTGTTAAAATTAATTTTAAAAAAACAGTATCCAAACAGATTACGTTATAACATAATCAATTATGATTAAAATCTACCACTTAATCAATTATTTCATAATCTATTATACCCAACTGAAATCCAAACGGACCCTAGAGCCAATTCAACCACTTTTGTCTTTAACTGCAATCTCCATTCTTGGGAAGCACAATGAGCACAAGGATCTTGGCTCAAATATATATATATATATATATATATTTATATTTATATTTATATATATAGGAGAATTACTTCTAAGGGGCTAATTTGTTTAAAGTTTAAAAGTTAAATAATTTTTAGATAGTTTAAACATTTTATAAAATAAATATTTATTTTATAGTGATTTTAAAAAAGCAAACTATATTTTATATTTAGTTACAGTAAAAAAAGTTATTATTATTTATTTATTTTATATTTTTACAGTATCGACATGGATTTCTGATTTATAAGAATAATTTATTATTAAAATATTTAAATTTTATGAAATCTTCACGTATCTCAATATTGTTTAACATTCTTTCCACATCATATTATTTTAAAAAGCTATTCAAAATAATTTGTCCAAATAATCACAAACATGCTCTCTTTTTTCTATTCCAATTATTTTAAAAATTTAAACAAATATCATAAAAATTCATGAAATAACTTTTTTCAAAAAAGTAAGTAATTTTTTTCTTAAGAAAATCTAAAACTAACTAGATTTAAAAAATTTCATTGACAACTTACACAATTGTCAACTTTTTTTGATAGGTAAACATCAATTTTTTTAATACATCTAAAAGTTTTAAATTTCCATTTTTATTTTATATTTAATAAAATAAAAGGTTATAAAAATATAAAAAAATCAATAAATATGTTTATTAACAACTGAACAGTCTATATTTAATTTGGATTATCCAATTTTTAATATTAAAATTTTTTATAATTTATAAATTGACTATCTATATTTATTCTGAAAAATTTATATTTAAAATTTTTAAGTAACAATTTTTTTAATTTTTTAAAATGTACTAGTTAATATTTTATCTTTATTTTTAATATTATATTTATTGAAATAAAAAATTATAAAAAAATTAATGTTCAACCTAGACCATCTAAAATACATTTAAATCACGGCATTAAAAGTTGAATCGAATCAGTTGAAATTAAAGGTCAAGTATTAGGGATATGATCGAAGTCAAATTAAAATTAGACCTATTATAATAAATAATATATATTTTTATTATATAATAAGTAATAAATATTTTGTTAAAAAATAATGAAAATGTATAAAATTTACATTATATAATTTTTTCCTACCAACCTATTTCTAGCCTGCATTCCTTTTACACTTTTTTCAATGTGTAGCAAACATCAATCACCTCAATTTTTTAATTTTCAATACGCATTGGTCTTCATCTGCTTCTCTCTTCATCTTTGCTTGAGAATTGGAAGAAGCTGTGCTAAAGAAAAGAAAGAGAACATCCATCTCATCTCAAATTCACAACAGCAACGTCAAGCACCTGAGCAATGTTCATGGGGCATGAGCCTTGAAGGGTAAGGTGCACTTTAACAGACTTGACAGTGAAGGAAGGAGACAAGAGAAAATCAAGAACGGCGAGAATGAGTACAAAAGTAAGGTTCCTTTTTTTTTTAAAAAAAAAAATAGGTGTCTGAAATTAAAAATGGTAACTCAAAAAAGAGAAAGAGATTTAGGGTTTCTACAATTTTTTTTTATTTTAAAATTTTTTTATATCCTATCCCTTAAAACTAAAGTTTTAAAAATTGAACCGGTCATTGAATCGGACGAGACACTGGTTTACAGTTTATTGGTCGAACCATGATCTAACCGGGGTTGAACTAGTTGACATTAAATTAATATATTTTTAATTTATGTATCATAATTAAATAAGAAATACATTTAAATATGTATTTTTTCAAAAGTATATTATAGATGCTTGGTAATATAATTTATTATTGATAACTACATAATTAATATTAATTATAAGTGAAGCTTTTTATTTAAATATCAAGAAAGATGTATTTTAATTTTAATTTATTTTTTATTTTTAAATTTTGTTCGGTTTTCTCATGAAAACTTGTCCGATTTTTATCCAGTTTTATCGGTTATTGACCGGTTTTATAATGACCAATTTTTATGGGTCAACCAAATCGGACCAAGAGCCGATTCCCGATTCAACCAGTTGAACCGATTAGTTCGGTCTGATTTTTAAAACCCTGCTTAAAACCATGTTGTTTTGGGGGGTCAAAATTTGATAAAAAAATCAACCCACTTGATTTATAGGGTTGGGTGGATTGATATGAATTAACCTGAGTCAGACAAATTCACTTCATATTAGAAAATAGAATCGAACATACAGTCGGGTTATTGGGTTGTCAGTTTGGCTGACATGTTTGCTTTGGTTTTAAATGATAAATATAATGATCTAGATAGTCAATTTATAAAAATTATAAAAATATTAAAATTAAATTAGACTATCCAAATTAAAATTGTATTATCCTAATTAATTATAAAATATTTGTTAGAAAAAAATTGTATTTTTTATTTTAATAGACATGAAATAAAAAATATGAATAAAAATTAGAAGACTTTAAATTTGGACATGTGGATTAAACTTCAAATGATCCAAATCTCATCAAGATGTTCATTCTCTACTGAGTAGTGTGCAGATGAACTTAAACCATTGATCATGCCACTTTGGTCTCACATAGGGGTGAGCAAAACTGAATCGAAACCGAAAATCGAACCGAACCGAATTTTATTTATTTAATTTGGTCTATTTGATTTTTCGGTTCGATTCAGTTTTTTTATTTTAAATATTTCGATTCATCAGTTCGATTCGGTTAGTAAAATTTAAAATCAAATGGATCGAACCGACCGAATTATATATAATTTATTAATTATAAATTATATTTAATTTATAAATTATTTTATTTTATTTTTATTTTTTATTTTAATAAAGAATAAAAAATAATAACATCACTTGAAACTCTATTTCGATCAGTAACTCTCATCAGTAGGTGTTGTGACTGGATTATGGTGTTACAACTGGATTATGGGACCATTATTTGATCATCGGTGTTTATTTGTGGTTGTTTATTTGATTATCCATGCCTTTATAATATTTAGACTTTATGTCATATGGGTGTAATTAAAATGGGCTCATATTGAAAAAAAAATAAATAGAAAAAACGATCAATTTTATAGTGTTGTTTGTTTTAATATTTAAAAAAAATGGGCCCAATTTCAATAGCTCAATATGAAACAAAAAAACCAAATTAACCGACCAAATCGAATTATCAAGTTTTGATTTAGTCCTTGTTTGGTTTGATTGTTTTGTTTGCTTCAATTCAGTTTTCATTTTCAGTGTTATTCGATCGATCGATTCTGAATATTTTGAGATCAAACCAAACCGAACTGATCGATACTCACCTTTAGTCTCAATGATATATTGAAATTTGAAACATGAGATTTGAATTTTGAAATGGATATGAAATTAGAAAAAAAAAATTGTTTGATTTCATGAATTTAGTTTCATGTAAAGTTAAATTTAACCAAAAATGATTGAACTCGGTTTCATCAAGTGAACCATGAAAGCCATAGAATTTTACTAACAATTATGCCCCATTAATAAAAGTTTTAGACACATTTGCCCCTCCCATTTTCAGCGTCCTTGCTCTTCGACATCCCACCCCACTAGGCCACTACCATTTTCGACGGAACGGAACTGGTCTTCACATCGTCTCCGTCACCGTCACCCGCGAAGGGATCAGAGAGCTGGTCTTCCTAACATCCGTTGCTGGGCTTCCTCCGTCCTTTCCTGCCGTTGATTCGTTTCTCATCCTTCGCAAATAGCAATAAGGAATTACTGTGTGCTAAGTAACTCTCTCAACTTCTCTCTGTCTTGTTGTTGCCGTGCTCCTGCTCTTCGACTCTCCAATGGCCATACTCTTTCATTCTGTACTTGTAAGTTCCACATTTCTTCTTATGCTCTCTGTCTCTCTCTGTGCCCTAACAGTTTTGCGCTTTGATTCATCTAAATTTAGTTTTGAGTGGTTAGTCGTTCTCGCCTAGAAATCGTCTCTGCACATGGTCATTATCGCCCCGCCAGTGAGATTTGCAGACATTGTGGAAATTCTGAGATCGCAATTCTAAGACCTTTTAAAGGATCGATGAATTAGATGGGGAAAATGATGAGAGAACTAAGAAGATGATCGGTTTTGAGAGAAACCCTCGGGGGTTCAAAGAGGGAGAGTAAAGAGAGGGAGATTTGGGTTGAAGCAGATCTGGTTGGATGTGGAACAAATTTTTTGGATGAGAGTATTCTAGTATTTTCATATTTTAACATTGATTCCCCTATAATCTACCAAACATATTTTTAAATCTCATGTTTATATTCATTTCCGTTAAAATTCATTTCCCACGTACCAACTGGGCATTAGTCTTTTTTTAGTCTTCGGGTGGACTTGGGACTAACTTAACGTGTTACATGGGACTTACAAGTAAGTTTCCCAATACATATATACATGTGCAGTTGTTCACACTCATACTGTAATCACTTCTTTAAACTGCAATCTTGTCCGCCTATGGATTCATGGGACGAGACAATGAAGAGAGCGAAGGGGAAGTTTATGTTTTCTGCCATAATACTCCTTCGCTGTCTTTTGCTTTGTGCAGCTGATCTTGACGCCATAACCAAGGACAAACCCATTAGAGATGGTCAGCTTCTGACTTCTAAAGAAGAAAAGTTTGCTCTTGGTTTCTTCACTCCAGGTAATAAATCTAACTATCGTTATGTGGGAATTTGGTATCATAATTTCCCAACGCAAACTGTTGTTTGGGTTGCCAACAGAGACAATCCAATCACTGACAAATCTGGAGTTCTCTCCATCGACTCAAATGGAAACCTAGTTCTCCATCAAAATTCCTCAAACTTACCCATATGGTCCACAAACGTTTCTGTCTGTGTCTTCCCAAATAATAAACCCATTATCGCTCAACTCTCAGATTTGGGTAACCTTGTTTTGATTCAAAATGATGAATCTAAAACTCTTCTCTGGGAGAGCTTTGATCATCCCACTGATACACTCCTTCCATATGCCAAACTAGGAGTTAACAAAATAACTGGTCAAAGCTGGTTCTTGCAATCATGGAAGAATGAAGAAGATCCTGGAACTGGAAGCTTCTCAGTTAGATTCAGTACCAGGGGAAAATCTCAGGTTTTCTTGTATAAGAATAACTTTCCTTTATGGCGAGCTGGACCCTCCAATGGGGAAATATTAGTTGGGATCCCATCTTTGAAACGAGCCATGCCAAACATTTTGAACGTGTCTGTTCCTGATAATGATGATGAAGTAGGATACATGTACAATGCTATTTCTAAGACCAATATCTTCAGATTAGTAGTTCTTCGATCAGGATTAGCACAACTATTCAAGTGGGATGATAGTTTAAATGAATGGACACGCCAATGGTCTGCACCAGAATTGAATTGTGACTACTATGAATCTTGCGGATCCAACAGTAAGTGTGATCCTCAAAACCAGTCAAACTTTGGTGTTCATGCTTGCCTGGGTATGAACCGAAAAATCCAACGGATTGGAATCAAAACAATGTTGTAACAGAGGGGTGTGTGAGGAAGAAAGGATCACTATCCATGTGTGGGAATAATGGAGAAGGATTTGTGATGGTAAGAAAGGTCAAGATTCCTGACACATCTATAGCTAATTGTAAAATGGGTTTGAATATGGAGGAATGTGAAGGAGCATGCTTGAGAAACTGTTCTTGCACTGCTTATGCAGCTACAGATATGAGAAATGGATTAGGATGTGGGTGCTTAACATGGCATGGTGCTCTAATGGACACACAGGTATTGAGTGAGGGAGGCCAATATTTATATGTCCGTGTTGATGCTATTGAATTAGGTAACCATATTATTCCATTTTTTTTCTTTTAATATTTTTAGGTTGAAAGGTCCTCTAACTTTTTCTACAGTTTCAGTTTGATCCCTTAATTTTATAAAATATATTTTCAATCTTTTAACATTGATTCTGTTAGTTTCAAAAAATTATTTTTTGTGCTAATCATTATTATTTTAGAAAATATTATGTTAACATTTGATAATATTTTTTTCATATTTAAATTATGAATTTTTTGTTGATGAAACTAGCAGTGTTTGGGTTATAGAATGGAAAAGACACTTTATAAGATTAAGAAATTAAAATAAAATGTTATATAAAGTTAAAGGAATAAAAATGTACTTTAGCCAGTTTTTTTATCACACATGGGTGTCCTCCTGTTGGAGGCAATATACTGTTTAAAACACGCTTGGGCACTAAATATGGACATTTTTCTCTCAGTGGAGATTTAAAACTTAGTTCATCATGGTATGAAGGACTAACCTTTTTTCCATGAGATCCAGCCTGTTGGTCTTTTCTTTTAATTTCTTGGTGAATGCTTTACTCTATTTTGAAAGTTGCGTTGGTTTTTAAGATTTCCCCCCCACCCTGCTTTTTCTCAGCAAAATACGCCAGGAAGGCAAAAGGAATGCTTGCTATGGCTAGGATGGTGGGAATTACAGCAGCTTCTATCACTTTCATTGTTCTTCTTGTTGCCATCATTGTGTATTGGTTTCAGAAGAATAAAAGAGGTGCGTTATTCCTTTCATGTCATGAATTAAAGATAAGAAGTAGAATGTGTGATAATTATAAATTAGTTTAGTGGAGTTAATAGACAACTTAATTCGTTTTTGTGTTTATCTTAAAACTGAATATTAATTCGTATTCTTGTGGGGGATAGGTTAATGATTTTTAATGAATTTCACCAAATCCATTTTTTGTGATTTAAATTGTTGTTGCATGCAAAAAAAAAAAAACAAAGAAAATTGATATTTTGCTTTGTGAAATTCATTATATTAATTCTAAATGATTTTGTGATAAAAGATATAGTAAGTTTAAAAAAAAAAATGATTCCTCTCTATAAAATCGTTGTTGTTGTTCTAAACATTTTGTCTCTCTATCAATACTTTTTGTTTAAAATTTCTTAAAGATCAATATTGCTTCATGCCTTTTTATTGGCTAATTGTAGATAAAATGACAGAGCAACAACTAAAGATGGATTCCGGAGAGGAGCAAGCTGTAAATAGTGCACAGCTAGCCTTGTCATTTTTCAGCATCAAAATCATAATGACTGCTACAAATAAATTCTCAAATGAGAATGAGTTAGGTGAAGGTGGGTTTGGTTGTGTATACAAGGTAAGTGAATTAATGCTTATAATTAATCCCATTTATGCAAGTTTCTATAATCTTATTATCATTTTATATATTTTTATGAAGGTAATAATATCTATGATGTTACACTACTATTGATTGGATTATTAATTGCACCAATTAGAATAATTTAAATTTTCATATTTTAGGGCTTGTTAGTGGATGGACAAGAAATAGCAGTGAAGAGGTTATCTAAAGGTCATGGACAAGGGATTCAAGAATTCAAGAATGGAATTAAACTAATTGCAAAATTACAGCACAGAAACCTTGTGAAGTTGCTTGGATATTGCATTCACAAAGAAGAAAGGATGTTAATTTATGAGCATTTGCCCAACAAAAGCTTGGACTTCTACCTTTTTGGTGAGCCTTTAATTCTCTCTCTTTGTCTAATCTAGTGTACATGTATTGCTTTCAAGAATTGGAGACCCTAAATTCAACTTGTGGTTAATTTTATCTGTCAACTTTAAAAATCCCCACTCCTTTTACCCTGCCATTTTCTTTTCGCTTGTTGGTGTTTGTCGGCCCCCATAATTATTTTTTAATATTTTTTACTCTTCTCCCTCCATCTCCTTCTCTCCTCCCCCACTCTCTCGCAACCTCCCTCTCCTTCTCTGATTTCTCGAACCAGTGCAATGTCGATGGCCTCCCATACTTCAGCTACAAGACCATCCTTAGCGGCCTCCCTCCCTTTGCAGCCGAACAGCACATCCCCTCTCTCTACAATTCCACTAGCACCACTTGCTTTGACCCCTTCTCCAGGGTTCTGTGTCGCCTTCAGATCTCAGCCTCAACTGGCCATGCCCCTCTGGTCACTTGTGTTGTCTCCAATGGGTTCATGACCTTTTCTGTCAAAGCTACCAATGTTCGAGTTGTTCATGGTTCAGGACGAGGGAGGGAGGGAGAGAAAGTGGAGAGGGAGAAGAAAAAGGAAGTTGTTGCTAGAGTCTGGGAGACAGAAAGCCAGTGTAATTCCAATGGGCAAACTAGAGCCAAAGAACAAAAGATGACAAAAGAAGTTAACAAGGTGAGACTAAGGACGTAGGTGAAGCTTCTTGTTGGTGAGTCTTCATTGTCACGATAATGATCGGAAGGAATGAGAGTTGGCGAAAGGTCATGAGGGAGATGTGAGGGAACCTGCATGGATTGGATCTACGTCTAGATTAGGTGAGGCATAATAGAAGTTGCTGGCGGATAATGAAGGGTAGAGGGAGAAGAAGAGTGGAAATTGCAAAAGCATCAACCACTCAGACAAGACAACGAGACAGATGGGGGAGAGAGAGAGAGGAATAAAAGGTGGGGGGGGGGGAGAGGAGAGAGTCGGGAAGAGGGGTATGTTTTAATATTATAAAAAATATAAAAATAGTGGAACTCATTAAAAATATTAAAAAAAATGTGAGACTCACGTAACGATAGAATTGGGAGAGTTAATGTCAGGGGTACAGAGCGATGTTTTTTTGAGGCTGAGATATAAATTATTCATAATTCAGTTTAAAGTCATTTAAAACTTTTCGTGTGCATTTCAGGGGCATTTCTGACTCTTAACCCAATTATAAATATATATACTTTAACTAAATTAAGTAAATCAACACATTTTATGTAAGAATTTTGTTGATATATGAAATTTGAGGTAGACATATGCTTGTTTAGTTATGTTTCTAAGCAACTTGATAATATATTCCACACACAAAAATATGATATATATTTAAAAAAAGGTTAGACATTTTTCATTCGTCACAAAAAAGATGAATTATACTGCTCAATATCGCTTAACATATTGTAGTTTGTTGTAAATTTTATTTAATATATTAATATATTGAATTTTGTTAGCTTGAATTTCTATGGTATCTCAATAATTAATTACATGTGCGTGTTTGGCATAGCTAGATTACCTTTTCTCAATTTTCAATGGTACTTAAAGGTAAAGCTTTTGTGGTTTCAATTGCAGATATGAATCATAGATCAAGATTAGATTGGAATACACGAGTTCATATTATTTTCGGAATTGCTCATGGTGTTCTTTATCTTCATCAAGATTCAAGGCTAAAAATAATTCATAGAGACCTTAAAGCTAGCAATATTTTTTTAGATGTTGCAATGCATCCTAAAATTTCAGATTTTAGCATGGCTAAAATATTTGGAGAGGATATAATCCAAGCAAGAACAAGACGAGTTGTTGGGACCTAGTAAGAACATTACTATTTTACATCTTCTTAAATTAAGAATTATTTATTTATTTATTTATACAAAAAAATTAATTATTTACGCCACAATGATTTGAATTATTGCAATGGTTATATGCAAGGTACTAAAAACCGAACCGGTCATTGAACTGGCCAAACTCAGGGGTCAAGGGTCATGGGTTCAACCGGGGGTCAAACCGGAGTCAGACCGGTCATAATAAAATAATATAATTTAAATAAAAAAATGTATTAATTCTCAATATGTTCATACATATCCAAGTCTTAATATCTCATATAACATATAACAATAATTCTAATAATAATAAAGTATAACAACATTTCTATATTTTTTAAAAATAAGGTTAACTAAATGATAAAAAAATTTCAATGAGTTAAAATAATAGAAATAAAAATTTATTTTAAAATAAAAGATAATAAATAAAAGTGATATATTTTAAAAATTATTTAATTAAATAATTCAAATTAAAAAATAATATAATATAATATATATTTATACTTTTTGATTTCTTTTTGCTTCTTCCGTCCCCTCATCTGACATAAGTATGAATTTTTTTACTCTATGACTCCTATTAACCTATTATTAATCATTATTATATCAAAAATAAATATATATCTTAATTAATCATTATTAATTTTTTTTTTAAATTTCAACCCACCCAACCCGCCTAAATCGAGGGGTTGGGTGGGTTAATTCGGGTTAATCTCGGGTCACCCGGGTTAACCCGGGTTAACTTAAATCACAATAAAAAGAAAAACCGGATCGGACACATGGCCGGGTCACCGGTTCACCGGTCAGACCGGTCGGTCCGGTCCGGTTTTAAAAACAATGGTTATATGTGTCACACCCGAAAAAATGCGACGTGGACGGTGCGCGAGTCGAGGTCTCGGCCTTCGCGGCGGGAACCGGATCGAACGAGGAGTCGCCACCAAGATTTTGAGGTAAATCTTGGGAAACCGATTAAAAGGAAGATAAGGGTGGTCTGCAGAAATAGAGAATAGGTTCGAGAGTCGGTTGAGTGTGGGAAAGGTGTTAGGCACCCCACAACACCCGTTCGTCAGAATGGTTACCTGAAGTTTGTTGTGCTATATTAATATGGTTTTATAATTATTTTAATTATCCCTTTTGTATTCATGTGTTTGATAAAAATGATAAGAATTATGTCAGAAATGTTTATTTATGTACGAGGGAGGATGGACTTGACTCAGAATCTGACTTTGAGGTCTACGTACCCTGTGATGGGGATCAAAGTCCACGTAGTTCGGGCTTGAAAGTTTGGTAGTGAAAATATTTTTGAAGAGAAATTAATTAGAAATAATTCACCATTTTGCAAATAAAACCATTTCTGAAATTTTGATATGTGTGTTTTAAATTACAAAAGGTAATTTAATTTTAATTATTTTCTCCATTTTTGAATTTTTGGAATAAAGAAAGGAAAGGGTTTAAAATTATTTTTCTTTATGATTGAGGATTTAATCGCAATACCTGCAGAACCTAATTGGTTCATACGATAATGCAATTGCTCTAAATATTTGCGGAGATTTTAAAATCTCACACGATAAAAGAATTTGGCAATTTAATTTATTTATTTAGATTCTTATGTATATTTTTAAGTGTTAATAATAATTTTTTTAGCATGTAGATATAGGTTTTGAAGAATTTTAATCAACATACCTGTAAAGCCTTATTGACTTATACGGTAATATGATTATCCTAAATATCTGCGGAGATTCTAAAATCTCACACAATAAAGGAATTAAATTTAAATACATCTTTAATTTAATTAATTTAATATATAATTTATATATATATTTTTAAAACTAAATCATTATATCTGTAGAGTCTTATTGACTCATACGATAATACGATTATCTTAGAAGTCTACGGAGATTCAAAAATCTCACATGATTAAAAGATATAATTGGTGAATATGATTATAATTTAAATACATTAATTTGATTAATTAATAATTATAAATTTTTTTTATTTTATTTACAAAATTCATTTATTTATTTACCATATAAATTGTGAATAACAATATTTGCAAGGATTTATTATCCTACACGATAATGTGATTAATTTAAGTCTCTACGAAGATTCTTGAAATCTCACACAAGACTTAAATATTTTATTGATTTAAATTATAAAAAGAGAGTTAATTTCAATGATGAGCTATTAGAACCCATCTTTAATATACAAGTCAGATCTTCATACCTATGAAATCTTATTGATTTACATGATATAAGGTTATTCTCAGTGCTTTTGGGGATTCTTAAAATCTCATATGACAAAATTTAAAAATAATAGTTATGTTTACCATACAGTCACTAAAGATGCACATATTCAAGAATAATTCATTCAAACATAAAATGGGACAAAACAGTTCATCAATTTTCAATCAATCTCCACGAGAAATTGTGAATATATACTGGATTGGCCTAACTATATATAACATATAACTAAATAACTTACTGGTTTTGGAGTTCCTTATGTGTTTGTACGAGACATATTGTGAGAGCCTGAAGAGCAAAGATGGTACTTTTGTATGACCCAGCTGATTTCAGTGCCATGAGGAGATTCTCCATTGTTGAATACTAAATATTTCTTGATCCAAACTTTCTTTCCAGTAGCTGAGACTACTGACTCAGTCACTCCTATTTCCTTGCAATACCCACTTTCTGTTGCTCTTCTTCTTTTCTTCTTCTTCTCTGCTTTGGTCGCCCGGTAGACTGGGTCTTCCTCGGTTATAGGCTCGCTGGCTCTGGAGATATCCTGTTGTTTCTTTCCCATGGTTGAGTTTGAAGCTGAAGCTGTAAACAACTCCCGCAAATTCCAGAGCCGCGTGAACCCGTGCCAATAGAGCCGTTCGTGCTCTGTTTTGACGTGTTGCATGGCTGTCTCTCTTTTTTTCATGCTCTCTCCCTCGTTTCCTCCGCTTTCCTCTCGTTTGGTTTTTCTGTCGTGTTTCTCGTCTCTCCTCCTCCAGTTTTTTTCTCTTCTTCCTCCAGTGTCCTGCGTCTGCCGTAACGTCCCTCCTCTTTCCTTTTCCTCCTCTCTCGGACTCTTCCTCGGTCTCGCCTCTCTCTCACGTTTATGGCTCTCTCTTTTTCGTCTCTCCTCCCTCTTCTCTCTCACTGAAACGTTCCTGTTTCTCCTTCTCTCCATGCTCTGTTTTTCTTTCATTTTCTGTCTCCGTCCCTTTCTTCTTCGTTCTCTCTCGGACTCTCTCCTCTGTCTCTGTTTTTTGTTTTCAGTTTCTCCTCCCCCTGCTCTGTTTTCTCGCTCTCTTTTTATGCTCTCTCATTCCTCCATTTTCTGCCGTTTTTCATGCTCTTTTCTTCTCCCTTTACTGCTCTGCATTATTCATTTTCGTGTGGCTATGTGTTTTGCCTTTTTTTGCATTTTTCTGTGCTCGTTTCAGCTGGCGTGTGGGTGCTGCGTTTGTGCTATGTTTCATCTCACTTTTTCCTTGCTGTAACGTCTGCTTTCTCTGCTATTTTGTCTACTCTGCATGCTGCATTTTTGGTTCTGTTTCCTTTTTTCTGCTAGTCGAAAAAGTGTACGTATGTTGGTTGCTCGCTGCTCCTTCTGCGCTTTTTTTTTTTGCTGTGCATGCATGCGTCTGACTCAAAGTGTTTTCGTGTCTGTGTTTTAGTTTTTTTTCTGGTCTGCATCTGGGCTTTTCTTGCTCTGCGTAGCTTCTCATGCTCCGTACGTGCATGTCCAGCATTTTTACCATTCTTTTTAATGTTTTTTTTTAATTAGATTAAAGGAAGGAAAGGAAAATTTAATTTTAATATATATATATATATATATATTTAAATGGAGAACAAAAAGATTTAAGGAGAGAAATTTAAAGATATCTAAGTCTAAAAAAAAATAATTTTCAATATCTTTGAATGGTTGGGATAATTTGAGAGAGATTTTTTTTAAAAAAATTAAGCAATATTTTTTTTGAAAATATAATCCTAAAAAAGGATTAAATTTTATTTTTATATTTTTTATTTTTTGATTATTTATTATTAAATTAAAAAAATGCCTGAACAAAATACGGTGTTCACAATATGTCCCCTGAATATGCAATGGAAGGGCAATATTCAACAAAATCAGATGTTTTTAGCTTTGGTATTATATTGTTAGAGATTACTAGTGGCAAGAGAAACACAGATCGTGACAAAGGAAGGGTATCCCTAAACTTAATTGGACATGTAAGACCAAAAATCATTATAAGGATATGAAATATAAACCGAATGATTTGGTTATTTTTCATATTCCTTCATATTTAACCTTAACCCTTTATTTGGATGCAGTGAAAAATAGAGAAGGAGAAAAACTAGGAGGAAGAAACTTCCAAAAATAGTAATTTTTAATTGGAAAAATGTATCTGCCAGCCGTTGTAATTTTTTTCAATTTTGAATTAGGTTATTATAATTTATTTTGATTTAATTGAACCTTTATATTTTAATCCATTCAATGTTTTAATCCCTCAAGGTTAAAATTTCTAAATTTTTCCTTTTAAAAGCAAAATTAAGAACTTTTATATTTTTATTAAAAGTTTATATAAATTTACAATTAATTACATAATATTCATAATTCAAGATTTATATAATTAGGTTATCTTTTAAATAATTTATATAGATATATAATTTTCATAAAAAATGTATGTGGTGTATTAAATGAAATTTTCTTTTTTCCACTTTAGCTTGAAGTATTAAATCAAATTTTCTACAGGCTCTAAAAGTATTTTTGTTTTGGGAAAGTTAATATAATTCATTATTAATTTTTCCTTCTAATTTTTCCTCCTCCCTATTTTCTTCCCTTGTACTTTTCCCTTTCAATGGCATATTTCTGCTTGAGTTGATGATGATCATGTGATGTGGAATTAATTTGTGGGTATGGGATTTATGGAGAGAAGGGAAGGCCTTGGACATTGTGGACTCAACACTTGGTGAATCATATCCTATTGATGTTGTACTTAGGCATATCCTAATTGGGCTTTTATGTGTGCAAGAAAATGCCTTCGATCGGCCATCCATGTTGGAAGTTATTTTCATGCTTGGCAATGAAGTCAGTCTTCCCACTCCCAAAAAACCAGCATTCCTATTCAACTCTGCTAACAATTTGGATTCAGAATCATCTGGAGAATCTTCAATGAATGAAATTACTAGCACTACAATAAGCGCTCGTTGACCTTGACATATGTTTGTATGAGTTAAATGTACTCTCTCATATAGTATGCTTGTTAGACACTGAATATGCAGGCATCATAATCAAACGTTCAATAGGGGACATGTTAGGCACGTAATTTCAGCAAATTATATCTTCATATGATTTTCTTTTTAATTCAATGTCTTTTTTCTGATATACTAAAAAGGGTTAGATTTTGCATTTTTATTCATACCCCATTGTATTCTTATTACTTAAACCAGCACTTATTCCCATAGAGGAAGCCTATAATTAATTATCTATTCAGTCTTGCAATCCTTTTTAAATATTGTATTGAAAGTGGCAAAATGAAGCAAACGCTAATAGCTAGACCCTTAAAACCTTATATATCTTTGGTAAGAGATGTCATATAAGGTAGCAAAATGAAGTGCCTAGTCAATAATCACATACAGAAACAACTTGAGAAGAATAATGTCTCTCCACACTATATACATCTTCTTCCTCTTCATGACAGAAATAACTATGAGTAATTACAAGTTCCAGTCTCACAAATGCAAGCATACCCTTGGTGTCTACAATCTTGCAAGCTACTCTAGAGCTTGTAGGAAGATACACTCTCAACTATTGTGATTCTTTGAATCGTGCGAATAAAGGAAAAAGAAAGGGTGTTTTTCATTTTTGAATTTTTTTTAAGACATGGGTATTTTGGTCAAATGACAACATTGTTAAGTGAATAAAAAAGTAAGCTTGGTCCTTAAAATATATTTGGTTCTTGGGGCCAATTTCAGTTCTAACCAGGTCCTTTTGGCCAATTTTTCCTTTTTCATTATTTTTTTTTAAATTTTAGTTATGAAGGTACTTAATTTTTTTTTTGTCTTTTATTTTTTTTAACAATTGAAAGTTTTAGTTCAAAAAAGGAAAAACATTTCATGCTGAATAAAGAAAAAATTAATAACTATTTAACATTTGATAATGGATAAAAATAAGATGGAGCAAATAAAATTGATAAAAAAGAAGTTATACTGTCAAGTAGCTTTATTGTAATTTATGATCAGATATAAATTTTGGAACATTTCTCAAATAGACAATATTGATTATGAAAGAACAGTTACACAGAGGCACAATGTAAAGCTTACCTTGACGAAGCCCAAAGACAAGCCATCAATCTCAATGAGCCCGCTTGGATAGCTTTATCAACACTAACTTTGTGATAGGAGCCACAGCTTTTGCACTGGCTTCGTGAAACCAGCAATTTAAAAATCAAATCAAATTAAGATTAATTTAGATTTTAGTTTGATCAACATGTAAAAATTATTTTAAAGGTTGAGTTGGATTGGGTAGCTTTGGACTGAAAATCGAACCTGAAATTGAAATCAAGCCAAAAATTGAACTCGATTTTCAAAAACTAAACTAGTCAAAAAATTCTTTTTTTATCAAAGCTTTTTAAAAAATGATCAATTTTTTTAATCATTTGACATTTTATTATATAATATGGCTTTTTAAATTATGATAAACTTAAAATATTTAATTTTATTTTTAAATTAAATAACAATTGCATATTTATTTCTTATATTGAAATATTTATATACATATATAAATTTTTAATTTAATTATTATATCACTAATTTGACCATTAGTGCAATCGAGTTAAACCATATGAACTGTGACTTGCTAACTTTTCCTGTTTAATATTTAGTCCAATTTTGAAAATATTAGGTGGAATTACTTTCTAAGGTATGATGATGATATTGGCTAATCACAAGTGACTTTAATCCAATATCATTATTATTCTTATTTTATTGAGGGAGAATCACATTAAAAGATCACTCAACGAAATCATTCATAAGTAAGGATTAACAACAAGTCTCACTTAAGTAAAAATAAATCATATTTTTATTTTAACAATAATTCATTTTTATGGATCCTTATTTGTGAATAGTTTCTTTAAGCAATCCTTGAATGTAATTCTTCCATTTATTTATGTAGACTTTGGTTCCTTTCAAAGAAAAACTTGGAGACATTATTTCAAATTAAACTTTAATTGTTAATTATAAGTGATGCCTAAAACTAATCCCATATTAATTTTTAGACCAATATTAACTCTTATAAGACTATAAAAACCTTATTGATTCTTTTTTGACTACTAACACATTTTTTTTTTTTTGTAGTGTTAGACAATTACGATTCATTCGCTATGTTCTATTCGCTATGTTCTCGATCCATTGTGGCCCTATATGTGGGGGTGGGTGTTAATAAAGCCTGTGTTTGGGTAACAAATTTTTTTACATTTGTAAAGTACTTTTGAGAAATTTTAAAAGTAAAAATCGTTTGGTTTACAAAAAAGTTCCTAAATTAGTCCTTTAAAAAAATCCATTAAAAAAGTTATTAAAAGTCTATTTTCTCAAAGCTACTTTCACTTAAGTTTGAATATGAAGTTGGGGTTTGAGTATTAACGAGGAAGTGACTAATTTTTATTTTACTACTCTACCCTTATGATTATTTGCCAAATATTATATTTTTCATATATTGTTAAGCTTGTAATTTTCCATAAACCACAAATTGCAAGGAGATTGGGTAAATCATACAGGCAGCGACCATCATCATTAAATTAAAATTTTATTAAATTAAGAAAAATTTTAATTGGTCAGACAAACAAATAAAGGAAGGTAACTTATGAGGTTGGAAATAATGAGCAAGGTTAATGAACAGGCAATATTTATTTTTTTTCTCATTCATTATTTAACACATCAAATTTTTTATTATTTAAAATTTTAATTATATGTATTTTTCAAACATTTCAAATATATTGCATGTGTAATAAAAATTACATATCATAAAATTAATTTTTTATTTTGTAATTATACATATAAAAGTACTTCTCATTGTATATTATCTGAACAACTTTTTGTTTAGTGAATTGACTTTTGAAAAAATATAGGGTGTGTTTGGATTTCAATTAGAAAAAATTGATTATAGAAAAAATTGATTATTAGAACATGATGATGTTTGGATAAATTTTTAGAAATTGATTTTGATAAATTGAATATGTTTAGATGATTTTTTGAGAATCAATTTTGAATGTGCAAATAAATGATATAAAAAAAAGGAGTTTTGCAAATGGAAGAAATTTTAACTTCTCTAAAATGGAGTTTTTTAAATCAAATGGAGTTTTGTAAAATGAAGGTGTTTAGATAAACTTTTGCAAAATTATAATTTTGATCCCAAAATTGATTCTCAATGGGTATCCAAATAGGCTCATATTTAATTATAAATTTTATTATAATAACTGATTTTTATTTAATAAATTTTTACAAAACTGACTTTTAACAAACAGAAGTCAAATACGCCCTCAAGTGTCTTCGCGTAAAAAATTGTATAATTCAATGTACTGAGTGGAATAATACCATCTGCATATTCATGATGCCATGTGTCATAGAGGTAAAAAATTATAAATTTGAAACCACGCACAGAAAGATGTCCATTTAAAATTCTCATGAAAATAATTTCATATGACTACCATATGTCCACCAGCTTCAAACAAAATAATAATAATAATAATAAATTTCGTTGGTCCTAATTTAACCTCAGTTAATGGCCAGATGAGAGCAAGCCGTATGACTCTACAAACATGGGTGTTCTTCTACCATCACCATTCATAATAAATTTAGATGGTTCATAAATTTTTCACTTCTATTTTATGTTATTTAAATTAATAATTATTTTTCATCTGTAGAATAAGTTAAAATTTATTACTTCATCTGTTAAAAAATATAAAGTATTTTTTGAGAGATTGTATATTAAAAAATATAAAGTATTTTTAATATTTTAAAGAATAATTATTGTACTTTTTTCTAAAAGTATCCACAATAAATAAATCACTTTATATTTATTTTAAATTAAAAAATTCTATTAAATATACATAAATATAAAAAGATAATGTTAATGTAAAGAAAATTAAATACTTTATTTAGGAGAAAGATTTGGGTAAAATATTTTAAATTTTTTAACACAGGGAGCACATATATATGAATATGAGTTCTACTTTTTATTCGGCACCTTTTAAAATTAAAATAATTTAACCACCCCCGTGGATAGGATGGGTAGTGCATGATGATGGGTTTGATCGAGTTCTTTAATACTTTGCTTTGAACATGATTTGTATTTTCTTAGTTTAAATTTTCCACCCAAAAAAATATAAAATAATGTAAATGTAAAAAAAAAAAATCTCATAAAAACTAACCCATCTAGATTTGGTTTGGATAGCCCCAATGCTCAAATCTCTACTGTCGAAATCTCCACCACCCATATATGTTGCCTAACACAGTTTCACCCCATTATTACATCAAGTTGGGTTGGTGGTCTGTGTTTGGCCCAAAGCAGTTGGGCATACTAGGCCATGTTGAGGATCCAGCAATCCTAAGAAGCCCACCAAACGAGCCCGAAATTGAGACACTAGGTCAGCACTTGAGAGAGAGAGAGAGATGTAGGATGGGAGAGAGAGCCAGGTGAAGGAAGGACCATCACTCAGGTTAAAATTTACACATTAAGATGCCATAGAAAGTTTCTAATTACCAAGAAGTCCTGAAATGTAAAAATAATTTTAAAATCTCATGGGCTTGATGGTAAATAAATTTTGATATGCTTTTTACTAAAATACTCTTATTGAAAAAAAAAAAAAAAGTATGGTTGCCATTAATTCCATCTTCCTCTTCACCCTTCTTTCTCAACAATACTATTAAAAATAAAAAGTTTTGAGATCCCAGTAGCAGGCAAACCTCTTATTCTTCCTTCAAATGCAAGGTTTTGAGATCTAAATATGTTGGGTGTGGAAGTAGAGGCATCTTCTGTGATTTCTTCGAGAGAATCTCCATCGAGTTCGAAGACTCTACTCTCAAGAGGGTCGAATCTCAACGCGAAAGGAAGCCAAAGGTCGCCGATGGTGGCCATTTGATGAAGGGAAGAGCCAGGCGCAAAGGATTATTCAATGGGGTTCATGATGAACTCGAAGGATGAAGAGGAAGATGG